ACTGATGGGACGAATAAATAGGTATAAAGTGATTTGGTTGGTTTTACTCGTATGCTAATATAGAAGCAGATTCGCTTGTCTAAGTTGCTATGGCCTATGTATCTTTTATATAATCCAGCATCAAGTTAAAGAAATGTTTAAAACTAAAGTTTGTGCATTCAAATAAAATTTCTAATAATGGAAAAACTTTTCAGACATAAATCGCAAAATCTGAGTCATTATGACCAGAACATTTTTTGGTCAGACGTCTGTGCAGTTTTGACGGAGAAATTAGATCAAATAAACTCTCAAAATGCTTCAAGTACCCTATCTTTTTGATCCACAAACTTACACGCTGTTGGAAGAGCTCTTTTACTTCCAGAAAAGTGGCTTCATCGGCCGGCAGCCTGGCCAAGCGCTGCATCTTTGCCTCGATGAAAGCGGAGCTATCGCCAGATTCCCCAGTGACGTTGACAAACGACTTGTTCTGCCTTTGTTGTATCCAGGTCGCCTGATGCCAAGCTTCAAAGGCTGTAAAGCCGGAGATTGGTACAGGGAGAATACAGAATACAGAATAAAAATCGAAAGGACAGTCATCTGGTTTTATTTTGGTAGCAAGGTTTAAGGTACCATGCTCTGCAGCCTATTGGTGTTTGGGCTAATTGTTAACCAATAAGTTAAGAAGAAGGATCCAAATAAGCAATGTTTCTGCATCAGATAATGGGAACAAACAATGTTTATGCGTTAATTCTAATTGTGTTCATCCTGAATAAGAAAACATTTTAAAATATAGGGCTATGTGAATTTCCGTAGCATCTTGAGGCCCATCCATGTTATTGTGGGAACAAAATGCCCTATCCGTCCTTAAATCATCGTAAGTGAGCTATTTAAGAATAACCGATAGCCTATGAAGTTAGTCCCATTTAAAATTACTTACTTTCATTCTTTCGTTCCTACTATCATATTCACGGTCTTTCTCAAGCACATTTTGTTTGGCTGAGTATAAACCAAGTTAGTGATAAATACGAGAATAGCCAATATTGGCAGGTTCTTTTAGCTCTAAGCACTAGACAAATGGCTAGGGTACGGAACAAATTTTTGTTAAAAGATACTCCCTGCAAAACTTGGATAGG